TTACAAAAGAAAAAATTAAAGGAATGTAGTTTTTATTAGTACATACAATTTTACAGAACAGCAGTCCTGTTGTGAATTTTTTGTATAATATAGCCGGCAAATATTCAGTAGGAATAGCGATATTAAAAGAATAACTTGTACCAGGTAGTGCCTGTGGCTCAAAGGAGTAGGGCACCAGCCCTATATGCCGGAGGTGGCAGGTTCAAACCCAGCCCTGGCCAAAAACTGCAAAAAAATAAAAAATAAATAAAAGAATAAATTGTACCTACTAAATAACATTATTTTATTTTTTTTAGCTTCGTCCACCTCAACCTGCAGTTTACTTGTTCGTGTTAGATGTGTCTCATAATGCGGTGGAAGCTGGATATTTGACAATTCTGTGCCAGTCACTGTTAGAAAATCTAGACAAGTAAGAATTTTTTAAAATCATATGTGTGTATGTATGTAAAATATACATAAATATGAGGTATTTATGGGTTCGGTTTTTATTAAGTTTGATACATTTAACAGCTAAAGAGTACTTATTTTCTACTATACATAGAATAAGGATCCTGCTACTTCAAAATGGTATATGATGTGGTATCTAAATCATAGAAGTTTAATATTTAGTCACAAATTTAGATTTTGTCTGATTTATTTTTCTGATTTAGCTGATTTGAACACTGAGGTCTAGAAACTTGAACTTGGCCAGAGTATCAGGAATTAGATGAAACTATTATCAAAAAGACAAAAAATAACAAGTGTTAGGAAGGATGTGGAGAAAAGAGAACCTTTGCACACTTTTGGGAATGTAAATTAACACAGCCATTATGTAAAACAGTGTGGATGTTCTTAGGAAATTAAGTGTAGAATTACATATGCTTCAGAAATCCTACTGGATCCATATGATAATTCATATGGAAAATAGTTTGTAGAAAAGATACCTGCACTTTGGTGTTTATTGCAGCATTATTCACAAGAGCCAGGATTTGGGTTTTTTTGTTTTTTATTTTTTGAGATAGAATCTCACTATGTTGTCCTTGATAGAATGCTGACGCATCACAGCGAACAGCAACCTTGAACTCTTGGGCTTAAGTGATTCTCTTGCTTCAGCCTTCCAAGTAGCTGGGATTGTAGGCGCCTGCCACAATGCCCAGCTGTTTTTGTTGTTGTTTCAGTTGTCATTGTTTGGCAGGTTCGGGTTTGAACCCGCCAGCCCTGGTGCATGTGGCTGATGCCTTAGCCACTGAGCTATAGGCGCTGAGCCAAGAGCCAACATCTATAATCAGCCTGACTGTCCATCATTAGATGTTTGGATAAAGAAAATGTGATGTGTGTACACAAATGGAATGAATACTCTCCCACTTTTAGAATGGAAGAAATTTTGTCATTTGTGATGCCATTGATGAACCTAGACGACATCATGTTAAGTGAAATAGGGCAGGCACAGAAAGACAAATACCACATGATCTCACTCATAAGTGGAATGGAAAAGACTTAATCTCTAATTGCTGTGAACAGGGCTAGGGTGGTGGCAGTAGGGTCGGGGCTGGGGAGAAGCTGGTCAAAGAGTACAAGATTTTGTTAGGAAAAACGTCAAGAGATCTGTTACACAGCATTGTGATTATAGTTAATAGCAATATATTATACTCTTGAAAAATGCTAAGAGACTAGATTTGAAGTGTTCTCTCTGCAAAATAATAACTTCATGAGGTAATGCAAATGTTTTTTACAGTTTTGCGCCGAGGCTGGGTTTGAACCCACCACCTCTGGCTTATGGGGCTGGTGCCCTACTCCTTTGAGCCACAGGTGCTGCCCAGGTAATGCAAATGTTTACTAGCTAGATTTAGCAATATTTATATATTTCCAAGCATCTTGTTTTACGTGACAGACACATACAATTATGTCAATTAAAATAAAATAAAATAAATGAAAGAATTTTTTTTTAAGAATCTGGATGAGGCTCGGCGTCTATAGCTCAACCGGCTAAGGCGCCAGCCACGTACACCTAAGGTGGCGGGTTCGAATCCCCAGCCCGGACCCGCCAAACAACAATGACAGCTGCAACCAAAAAATAGCCGGGCGTTGTGGCGGGCGCCTGTGGTCCCAGCTACTTGGGAGGCGGAGGCAGGAGACTTGCTTGAGCCCAGGAGTTGGAGGTTGCTGTGAGCTGTAATGCCACGGCACTCTACCCAGGGGGACAGCTTGAGGCTCTGTCTCAAAAAAAAAAAAGAATCTGGATGAGAGAAATTTAGCTATAATTTATGCCTGAGCAAGGAATTTTTTACAAGGCAATTTTAATTGCACTAATGAGAGGATTAACCAGATAAAGGGAAGGAGGAAGGAAATTGCCTTTGTGCTGAGTGTTAGGAAGGCAGAAACTGAGCTCTTCATTTTAGCATGTTAGTAATGAGCTACATTGTGGAAGCAAAAATAGATTATACAATAAGTGGCTTACACCTGGCTCTCATTCTTTCCTTCAAGATTTGTACTGAAGGGACCTTTCAGGTAGATTTAAAAATGAACCTCTGAAATTCAGGGAAACAAAGTCATTTGTGCATTTCTTTTTTGTACTCATCACCCACAAGAGATAGGACTTAACATTGTTGGTAGGAGTGGTTTAGTATTGCAGTGGTTCTTGGCGTGTTAATGATTTAGAGATGGTTATGTATGAATACTTTGTCACAAGTACTCTGGGGATTCCATAAGATTGTCTTCCATCTTCCGTTTGAGTTTAAGAGGCTTTGTCCTGTGTGCTACCTTTAGTCACCACAGTCTGCATAATTACTGATCTTGGCTTGTAAAAGAAATTGATAACACTGAGATGTCCAAATTATTTTTTATTTCAAAAATCTTAGGGAGGGCTTGGCGCCTATATTGCACAGTGGTTATAGCACCAGCCACATACACCGAGGCCTGCAGGTTTGAACCCAGCCCAGGCCAGCTAAACAACAATGACAATTGCAATAAAAAGTAGCCAGGTGTTGTGCTGGGCACCTGTAGTCCCATTTACTTGGGAGGCTGAGGCAAGAGAATCGCATAAGCCCAAGAGTTTTAGGTTGCTGTGAGCTATGACGCTTTGGCATTCTACTGAGGGCGACATAGTGACATCCTGTCTCCAAAAAAAAAAATCTTAGGGAGTACAAGTGTTTTTTGTTGCATGGATGAATTATATCATGAAGTGTCACCAGAATAGTGTACAGTATACCTGACAGGTAGATTTTGTTTTTTTTTTTTAAAGACAGAGTCTTACTCTATTACCTAGGCTAGAGTGCCATGGTGCCAGCCTAGCTCACAGTAACCTCAGACTCCTGCCTCAGCCTCCCAAGTAGCTGGGACTACAGGTGCACACTACTATGCCCAGCTAATTATTTTTAGTAAAGACAGGGTCTCTTGCTCAGGCTGGCTTCGCCTCAGCCTCCTAGAGTGCTAGGATTATAGACGTGAGCCACCACTACGCCTGACCAGTGGTAGGTAGAGTTTTATTCCTTATCCTTCCCTTGCCCTCTGCCCTTCTTTGTTTTCAATGCCCATTACCCCTTTTCATGACCATCTATATCCTTCATAACTGCCCCTTAAGGTACTTAATACAATGGTTTTCAGTTCCATCTGAGTTGCTGCAGAAGACATTATTTCATTTTTGTGGCTGAATGGTACTCCATTGTGTGTTTGTGTGTGTATTATACATACACACCCACACACATATCCCACATTTTCTTTACCCACTCATCAGCTGGTGGACACTTAGTTTGGTTCTCCATCTTCACTATTTCGAACTGTGCTTTGTAAAAAGACCTCTTTTCCTTTGGGTAGTGGGGTTGCTGTATTGAATGGTACTTTCCATAGTGTTTTCCATAGCAATTTCCCACCAACAGTGTATAAAATGTTCCCTTTCACTGCATCTATGCCAATATTCATTAATTTCTTACTTTTTAATACTGGCCATTCTGAGAGGTGTTTCATGTGTTTTTTGGCCATTTGTGTATCTTCTTTTAAGAAAAATGTTTGCCCACATTTTGATGGGGTTATTTGTTTTTTCCTTACTTATTTGTTTGAGTTCTTTGTAGATTCTAGATATTAGCCTTTTGTTGAAATATAATTTGTGAATATTTTCTCTCATTCTTTAAGTTGTCTATTTACTATGTTGGTTGTTTCCTTTGCTGTGCAGAAACTTTTTAGTTTAATTAAATCCCATTTATTTTTATTATTGCTACTTTGCTTTGGGGATCTCAGTCATAAATTCTAAGCCAATGTCTAGAAGAGTTTTTCATATATTTTCTTCTAGAGTTTTTATGGTTTCAGGTCTTACATTTCAGTCTTTAATTCATCTTCAGTTAATTTTTGTATATGGTGAGAGATAGGGATCTAGTTTTAAAAGTTCATGCAAACATATGGCTGTCCAGTTTTCCCAATACCATGTATTAAGTAGGGGATCTTTTGCCTAGTGCAAGTTTTTGTGTTTTTGTCAAAAATCAGTTGTTCTTAGCTATATGATATTATTTCTGGGTTTTCTATCCTATTCCATTGATCTACATGTCTGCATTTATACCAATACCATGATGTTTTGGTTATAATAGCTTTTTTTTTTTTTTTTTTTTTTCAGTTTTTGGCCAGGGCCAGGTTTGAACCTGCCACTTCCGGTATATGGGGCCAGCGTCCTACTCCTGGAGCCACGGGCGCTGCCCTATGATAGCCTTTTTATAATATAAATATTGTAGTATAATTTGAAGTCATGTAACATGAGGCCTTCAGATTTGTTCTTTTTGTGTAGGATTGCTTTGGCTATTAGGACTCTATTTTGATTCCATATGATGTTTAGGATTATTTTTTTCTAGATCTTTGAAAAATGATGTTGCTATTTTGGTAGAAATTATATTCAAACTGTAAAATAATTTTTAGCAGTATAAATGTTTAGTTTTTAAACATTTCAGAGATATTGAAAGATTTGCTTTTAGTATTTGTTGGCAATTTAGAGTTTTTATGTTTTGTGGTGAATTATTTGTCCTCACTTTAGTCACAAGGGCTGACTTCACAAATAGCTTTAGCAATGACTGTCAGTGGAAGACCACTCTTGCAGAAAAGTGGTTGGTTAATTTTTTTTGTTTTGAGTTTTTGTTTTGTTTTGTACTGTTTGTCTTTACACACCAAGTTTTTTAATGCCTGATGGGGTACATCCTTCTTGAAAGTTGCATTACCAGGTTGATACCTGCAGTGGATGGAATAAGCTCCTATTCCATTTCTCTCCTTCAAAACTCTACTTAATATATTATTCCAATATAAAAAAGCACGAAGATCTATCCCACCTGTGCAAAACCAAAGGTGAAAAATTGAGAATGGAAAATAGTATTAAAAAACTTTTTTTTGGATTACAGCAAAAGGTAGAGGCATTAGGAAAGTAAAAAAATAAACATTGTAAAGATGATAGTATAGAGCAGTAGCATAACAACATGGTTTTTGGAAAGGGCTCAGGAAACATCTTTGGAGAAAAGTTGTTTGGTGGTGGAGCCGTTACTGCTCAATTCTGTATTTTGAGCTTGGGTAAATCGATAGTCTCTGCTCTAACCAATAACAAATGACCCCAGTACTCAGTGACCTTAGAAATCTCAAAGAATGAAGTCTGTGGAAACATCATAAATCTTGACCAGTATTGGTAAACTGAACACCCACATCATGTGTTGCATTCTGTTCTCTGAAATACTTTTGACCTACTTTGTAGACTATATAAGATGAGACATCCATTTTATGATTAATAATGAAAGCGTGACAGGTAATAATGAAAGCGTGACAAGCAATGAAATGCCAGTTTATTCTTTTATATGGAGGAGTTGTCTTTTGAAAAAATTTTAAAAGATTGATAATAGTGTTTTAGTGTTCAAATAAATGTGGTTTCTGTTTAAAATTTTGCACATTAAAATCTGATTTGCTTTATATTCAGTCTTTTTGTTTTTTTGAGACAGTCTCACTATGTCACCCTTGATAGCATGTCGTGGTGTCCCAGCTCACAGCAGTCTCAAACTCTTGGACTTAAGAGATTCTCTTGCCTCAGCCTTCCCAAGTAGCTGGGACTACAAGCGCCCGCCACAGTACCCGGCTCCTTTTTGGTTGTAGTTGTCATTGTTGTTTGGCAGGCCTGGGCTGGATTCGAACCCGCCAGCTCCGGTGTATGTGGCTGGCGCCCTAGCTGCTGAGCTACAGACACTAAGCCTATATATTCAGTCTTAGGAAATACTCATTTGTCATTCTGCCCATCAAGTGCTTAAACAAAATATACTATAGTTGTGGGATGAGACTGAAAATATGAATTAAGTTTTCACCAGAAAAGAGCATATTTTAGAGAAAAGTTAGCAAGAAATCCTTGTGTTTTTTAATCATTTCATTTTCAGTTTGGTTTATTCTTATTTGAATATGGTGTATTTCAGCTTTCTGAAGTGTGAATTTTAAATATGTTAGTGGTTTCATCTGCAAATGGAAAATTTCATCCTTGCCGTTTTCTGATACATATTTGTTTAGAATAGGAGTCAGTGTTCTGACCCCTCTAAAAAGTGTATGTGTAGTTGTTTAGACTTAGTTTACTATTTTATGATTTTCTGAAATAAAATATGTTACTGAGCACTTAGAATTTAATATTGTCCTTTTCTTCTTTAGACTTCCTGGAGATTCACGAACAAGAATAGGATTCATGACCTTTGATAGCACTATTCATTTCTACAATTTACAAGAAGGATTATCACAGCCTCAAATGTTGATTGTGTCTGATATAGATGGTAAGCAGTCAGAAAAACAAGCTTTTTCAATTATAGATGTTGAGATGGGGTCTGATTTATTTTATAATACATGTTATATATGCTGTGAGAATAATTTCTTGCTCTTTGGTATTTTAAAATAATTGACTTTCGGCTCGGCGCCTATAGCTCAACTGGCTAAGGCGCCAGCCACGTACACCTAAGGTGGCGGGTTCAAATCCCCAGCCCGGACCCGCCAAACAACAATGACGGCTGCAACCAAAAAATAGCCGGGCGTTGTGGCGGGCGCCTATGGTCCCAGCTACTTGGGAGGCAGAGGCAGGAGACTCGCTGGAGCCCAGGAGTTGGAGGTTGCTGTGAGCTGTAATGCCACGGCACTCTGCCCAGGGGGACAGCTTGAGGCTCTGTCTCAAAAAAAAAAAAAATAATTGACTTTCTGGAAATAACTTGATTCTAAGTATTTTTTTTTAATGCCTGTGTCTGTTACAAAGTTGGACAATTAAGTTCGTGAACTCATCGTAGAAAAGTGCTGTGTACCTGATTGCTGCATATCACTGTGGTCACCTGGGGAAGCTCTATACCGACACTAGCACCTAGTCCACTTTCCCACACAATTTTAGAACTCTTTTCAGGAATGGCCATCAGAGTTGTCATAGGAGGTCTCACAGTTAAGTTCTTTAACTTGTGTTTCATTGCTGAATATCACTACAGTCACCAGATGGCCATGGAGAGTCCTTTGAAGGTGACCCTAGTGATATTCAACAATGAAGTATATAGCACTTTTTCTAGGATGACTTTGCAAACGTAGTTGTCAGACCTCATAAGATGAGAGCTCTGATGGCCATTCCAGAAAACGTTTCAAAATTGCTTTGAAGGGTGAACTAGGGGCTGGTATTAGTGCATAGTTTCCCAAGGGGAGTACTTAAAGGTGAGCATAGTGATATTTCAGCAATGAGGTATGTAGCACTTTTTCCAGGATGAGTTCATGTACTTAATCATGCACCTTTGTGGTATACACACATATGCATAATGTATATAAACTGTATATACTTAATAAAGCAAAATTACAGTATACATTAATGTCTGGTCTGATAAGAACTCAGATTTTCTAATTTGTTGTATTCTCTTGATTTGATTTATTGATAAAATGTATGTTTTTCTCATAGATGTTTTTCTGCCTACACCGGATAGTTTACTTGTAAATCTGTATGAAAGTAAAGAGGTGAGATTGATTTGTTTTCTTAATGTATCAGAATATTTCTGTTATTTCTCATCTGTTGACAAAATGTGTAACATTTATTAATATATAATATTGCAAACAGTAGATAATCTATTGACTCTTCAGTTTACAGTCTCCAGAAATACACACACTATTCTCTGGAATGTTTTAAAAAAGATTGTCTTGAATGCTCAGTAATCCAACTTTTAATCTTTGTTTTCCCAGCTTATAAAAGACTTATTGAATGCATTACCAAATATGTTCACCAATACAAGAGAAACACACAGTGCCCTTGGTCCTGCGCTTCAGGCTGCCTTTAAATTAATGTCTCCAACAGGTGGCCGTGTGTCTGTATTTCAGACACAGTTACCTTCCTTGGGTGCAGGACTTCTGCAGTCTAGAGAAGATCCTAATCAGAGATCAAGTACAAAGGTATTTTATATTTAGTTTCTATCTCATATTCAGGATGGTGTTTTTTTCCTACCTCTGTAGACTATGTAATTATTTGTTTATTTTTCTACTTCATTAATAATTTTTAAAAAACTGGTGAAAGAATAATTGCAATTCTTCTTATTTTTGTGTTGTAATATTTTATTTTTATTACTTTGCAAGTTATAGAAACTTAGAAATCATTTACTGTAATCCTTTCATTTTACAGATGAGGAAAATATCTTGGTATTTAATAGTAAAGATGTGACTTGATTTTCTGACTCTAGTACTGTTTTCTGTTACAAAAGTGATAACAACTTAGTAAATGCAAGCTATTATAGTTTAACATGCTCATATTAACAAACGTTAATCTATAAAACAGGTCATTGTATAAAATTTGGAAAGTGAGGCTAGATATAGTGGCTTATGCTTGTAATTCTAGCACTTGGGGAGGCTGAGGCAGGAGGATTACTTGGGCCTAAAAGTTTGAGCTATGATGATAGAGTGAGCTATGGCTGTGGCAACAGAGCAAGACTCTGTCTTGGAAATAATTAATTAATTTTAAAAGTAGATACAACCTGGAAAGTAGAATAAACATATAAATCATCTGCAATCTCACTATTGGAATATTACCATTTAGTGTTATACAGACACATATAGGCATAATTGGGTATCATACATATATGCAGTATTTTTTTTAACTGGACTTCTTTTTTTTCTATTATTTATTTTATTTTTATTAACTGGACTTTTTCATTGGAGAGTATTTTGTGAGCATTCTTTGAGGCTCCTAGAACTATGAAAAATACATACACACTCTGGAATATTTTAAAGAAGATTATATTATATACATATGTATATGTGTATGTTCATGTTTTAGTGAATGAGAAAGTACTTGGTTTAATTCCTTTCCAGTCATTGAAACATTGAAATACTAGTTATCTCCAGTATTTTCACTACTAAAAAAAGGGAATATAAGGCTGAACATTACTTGGGTTTTACATGAAGATTTGGACACGGCATTTTTTTTTTTGGACACAGAGTCTTATGTTACCCTTGGTAAGAGTGCCATCTCAACCCACAGCAACCTCTAACTCTTGGCCTTAAGCAGTTCTCTTACCTGAGCCTCCCAAGTAGTTGAGATTACAGGTGCCTGCCACAATGCCCGGCTATTTTTGTTTTTTGGTTGTAGTTGCCATTGTTGTTGAGCAGGCCTGGGCTGAATTCGAACCCTCCAGCTCCTGTGTATGTGGCTGGTGCCATAACCACTGTGCTATGGGTGCCCAGCCAGGACAGGGCATTTTTAATGCCTTCTTTCAAATAATAAACTAGAACATGCCTTTTTATTTTTTTCATGAGTTCTGTCTGACTTCCACTTATTTTTTGTAAAATGCAGTAAGTATTTACAAGTATCAGTTAAACAGTTTTAATAGTGTCATAAATCTTTAGCCACATATTCAGTTTTTCCATAGGATAAATTATCAGAAGTAAAAATTATTGGATCAAATGGCATAAACCTTATTTAAGTTATTAAATAAAGAATATTTACATATTTTCCTCATTTGGGTTTTTTACCAACCTGTACTCTTAAGGGTTCTCATCCTTTAGTTGCCATTGAGTATTGTTGCTTTTTTACTCTTTGCTAATTTGCCAGAGGAAAATGGTGTATATTTTGCTTTTTCATACTAATTGTATTTTTAAATTGCTTTTGAGAAAGATACTAATTTTAAAACAAAAATTTTAAACTCATCAACAACTATAGCTAGCATTCAGTTCATTGATCCACTCTAGTCCATGCTAAATTACTGTGATATTTGGAATATGGGAAGCTATTATATACGAAATGAATTCTTTGGTATAGTTTCCTTGTTTCTTGTTTAACTTTCAAAAATATTCTCTATGTCTCTCATTCAAAAGCTTGAGCATCTGTTCTGGTTTGCATGTTCCTTCATATCCTTTATTCTGTATTTTAAAGTAAACTATACTAGGATTAAGCCAGGTTCAGTGACTGTAATACCAACTGCTCAGAAGCCAAGGTGGGAGAAACATTTTAGCCCAAGTTCGTGATTTTTAACTCAGTGTGCCATGGCACACTGGTATGCCATAAGAGGATCTTAGATGTGCCATGGAAAATTTTAAAGATAACTAATTAAGGGCAGTGTCTGTGGCTCAAGGAGTAGGGCACCAGCCCTATATATTGGGATGGCAAGTTTAAGCCTGGCTCTGGCCAAAACTTTGAAAAAAAACCCGAAAGGATAACTAATTAAATATTTTAAAGAAGTTCAAAGCATAGTAAATATATTTCTTTTTTTGGTTTTTTTGATCAACGTAA